TCTAAAACCTGCAGGACACTGGCCCTCGAGGCCTGGAGTTGGACACCCCTGATTAAGACAATCATCTTGTCAGGCTCTTTGTCCAGCAGCACCTGAACACATCACTGGAAGCACTGTCTCTGCCCCTCCCTCCCATTCATTTGAATACATTGCACTACAGCTCCCCGGATCTACCCCCACCATTATATGTACTGTTTATCGGCCACCTAAGCCAAATAAGGATTTTTTAAATGAATTTTCTGCTCTTCTCACTCATTTCTCTGTACTTTCTCCTAATCTGATAATTGTTGGTGACTTCAATATTCATATGGACAATGACAAAATCCCTCTTTCCAGAGATTTTACCTCCTGCCTGGAAAGTGTTGGGCTTCTACAGTACATAAAGTTTTCTACTCATCTAAAGGTCATATCTTGGATTTGGTCTGTTGTTGTGGCCTTACCCCCACCCATAGTAAAGCCACATTGTTTCTCCAGTCTGATCATATGTTTATTTCTTTTAATGCAAACTCCCACAGTGGGCTCCCCTTAAACATTGAACGGTCTCATTTTCCAGTTCAGCACCATGGTTTACCCCCGACCTGCGTCACCTTAAAGCTAAAGGACGCCAACTCGAACGTCTATTCAAGAAAACTGGACTTAGTATTGTTACAGCTGTGGCCATAAGAACACTGTGTGGACTGTTTTGTTCTGTGTCTCTTTACTGTGCTTAAGACTCTTTGCAGGTCCCTCCCCTAATGAAGAGTAGTGAGCAGCTGATTGGACCGTGGAACACGTGACCGTGTTCAAAAAGCCGCTCTGACAGCTCCCGCCGGAGAGAGAGAGAGAGGAGTAGTTTGACAGCCGACGCGGTCCTGACCCTGGTTTCCAGCCTATACTTTTGCTGTGTATGTGTGTGAGCGTGCTCTGTGAGAGCCGCTCCGGGTGTATTAACTTAGTGCTGAGGCACCCATAGACTGAAGCGGAAGGGGTGAGCCGCCTTTTTCTTTGGAACAGTTTTCTCCTGTTTTCCGGGTTAGGGAGCGAGGGTTAGTATTGTTATTTGTTTGTTCTGTTTCTTTCTTAGGGTTTAGTTAGTTTTCTCTGGTGGGACTTAGTTGGTTTTATTTATTATTTTGGCCTGGGTTCACCCTGGAGCTATGCTTCATTTTATTATTATTTATTACCTTCAATAAAATCACCTTTTTTACTCACAACTGGTTTTGGATGTTTGGCTTGGGAATCAGGGCGGGGATTTGTCTCTCTCTCCTCCAACCCTTATGTGCGTCTCTACACGCCTAGACTAGGGGCGTAACATAAATGGGGGCTCGTCCCTTTTCGTTCGTGTGATTGGTTCGTTTCCCTTTTGCGTTTGCGGTGGGGGGAAACGTTGTGGAGGGTGTGGGAAGACGGAGAGTTTCATTCGTCTATGCGGTAGGCGTGAGTTTTGCGGGTCTGGAGTGTGCGGATGCGGTTAGTGGTCTGCAGTTTTTCTTTTTTGCTTTGCTCGTGATGTCGTTTGACATGGATGATTTTGCGCAACAGCCCTCCATTGAACTGTTGGAGCGGTGCACAAAAGCAGATTTGTTAGTAGTGGCTAATTTATTCAATGTGAATGTTCCTAAGAAGGCGGAAATTAAACAATGTTTGATAGAGAACGTGGTGGACAGGGGAGTGTTTGGGAGGCAGAAAACTTCGCCGAGTGGGTCTGGGAGTTTGGAGACGGCAGTGGGGGCGGAAGCTGCTGGGGCCGTCCCGAAACCTACCAAGAGGCGGATGACGTCGGGGGTGGAAGCTCCTGTCGCCGTTCAATCTCCTAAATTTGACCCGACTGGCCAGGTTGCGGCGGGTTTGGTGATGGATGATCTCAAGCTTGCCCTTCGCTTGAAGGAGGTGGAGCTGGAGGCTAAGGCTAAGGAAGTCGAACTCATGCATCTCCGCATACGAGCTATGGAGCTGGATCCTTCTCAAGCGAAAGACGCTGTTCCCGTCCGTGTAAGTACACTCCCCGACACTTCCATCGTAGACCAGTTTAACGCTAGCAAGCAGGTTGTTTTGGTACCTCCTTTTAGGGAGGGAGAGGTTGATTCCTATTTGTTGATGAGTTGATTCCACTGCTTTTGAGCGCATCGCAACCACTTTAAAATGGCCAAAGGATGTCTGGAGTCTGTTGTTGCAATGCAAATTAGTACCACTACACAATGTGTTTCTTCAATCGACGCTCGTTTCGGGCGCGATCAGTTGCCAGTGCCCGGAGTTGCGATGATTCTGGGGAATGACTTAGCGAACGGGAAAGTGTTTTCTATCCCGAGAGTGGTTGAGAATCCTGTGCCTGATACTTTGTTATCTGACCCTGCCGCTGAGCGCTCCCCCTCTGTTTTTCCTGCCTGCGCTGTAACTCGCGCGCACAAGTGCAAGTATGGTGATGTTGATTTGTCTGATTCTTTTCTCTGCGCTGGTGGTGAGCCGGAGTCTAGATCTAAAACCTGTGACCCGCTGACGGGCGACTCTGAGGCGATGCTGTCTATTAGCCCATCAGTGACATCTCAACTGCCTTTGGGAGTTAACAAAAAGGATTTTGTTTTGGCACAACACAGTGACCCGACTCTTGTGGGTTGTTTTTCAGCTGCCAACTCTAGTGACCAGTATCCTCGTGTTTATAGTGTTGAGGATGATGTGTTGATGCGTACCTGGTATCCGCCTACAGCTGGTGATCTGGGCTGGAATGTGTTTCAGCAGGTTCTGGTGCCTCAACAGTACCGACACAAAGTTCTTAGTCTTTCCCATGACAGCTTTTCTGGACATTTAGGTATTAGAAAAACCTACCACCGCATTCTGCGTCATTTCTTTTGGCCAGGATTGAAGAATGACATTGCTAAGTATTGTCGTTCTTGTCACACCTGTCAGATTAGTGGTAAGCCTAACCAAGTCATTCCACCCGCTCCATTACACCCTATTCCAGTTTTAGGGGAACCTTTTGAACACATACTCATCAACTGCGTTGGTCCACTTCTTAAAACAAAATCGGGCCACCAGTACCTCTTGACTTTGATGTGCGTTGCTACACGTTTTCCCGAGGCAATTCCATTGCGCACCCTTAAAGTTAAACCAGTTGTTAAGGTGTTGGTGAACTTCTTTTCTACTTTCGGGTTACCAAAAGCGGTCCAAACCGACCAAGGCTCTAATGTCATGTTTAAGATTTTTGCTCAAGTTTTGCAATCACTTGGCATTAAACATCAGAAATCTAGTGCCTATCATCCGGAGTCGCAAGGTGCGCTCAGGCAGTTTCATCAGACATTGAAATCTATGATGCGGAAATTTTGCCTTGAGTCTGGAAAGGAGTGGGATGAGGGGTTATTTCAAAAATTCTTGAAAAAGTAACCATAACCTCTATGAACAATTTCAATCTGGTTTCCGCCCCAATCATAGCACAGAAACTGTTTTGTTAAGGATTACCAATGACCTTCTGATGGCAGCTGATTCTGGTCTTCTATCCATCTTCATCCTTCTTGATCTTAGTGCGGCGTTTGATACCATTTCTCACAATATTCTTCTGAACCGGTTAGCATCCATTGGCATTAGTCACACCCCTGTTGCCTGGTTCACCTCACATCTCTCAGACGGCACTCAGTTTATCCAATTTAAATCACACTCTTCAAGTCTCTGTTTTCCCCTCCACTCAGGTTAAAAGTTTGGGTGTCTTACTTGACAGTACTCTTTCATTCCAGTCTCACATTAATTACATAACACGGTCTGCATACTTCCACTTACGTAATATTAACCGACTCCATCACTTCCTTCCTCCCCATGCTGCTGCCATCCTTGTCCATAGTCTTATTACGTCCCGTATTGATTACTACAGTTCCCTCCTATTTGGTCTGCCTAAAAGGTTCCTTCATAAACTCCAACTTCTTCAAAACTCTGCAGCTCGGGTCATAACTTGCACTCCGTCATATTACAACAGTTCTTCAGCAGCTTCGCTGGTTGCCTATAAAAGCCAGGATAAACTTTAAAATCGTACTTCTCACGTATAAGTGTATCCATAAATCTGCTCCTTCCTATTTGTGTGACCTGCTCCATATCACCACTGTCTCCCGCCCTCTCAGATCCTCATCTGCTGTTCATTTTACTGTTCCTTCCGCTCATCTCATCACTATGGGACACAGAGCCTTCAGTCGCTCTGCACCTCGGCTCTGGAACTCTCTATAAGAAATATAGACTCTCTTCCCGCATTTAAGTCACAGCTCAAAACACATCTGTTCAAACTAGCTTATTCGCTTTAGTGCTGATTTTAATCTGTTGTCAAGTTCTGTTTTGCAATTTTAACTTATTTTATGCTCCTTTTATTAAGTTTGTTCTTTGTAAAATGGTAAACGGCCTATATTTGTAAGGTGACCATGGGTTTCTGAAAGGTATCCTCAAATAAAACATGTTATTATTATCACACATGAAAGCCTTGGAGAGGAGGATGGCGCGGTTTCTGTTCTGAAACTTAAAAGTTATGATGCTCATATTTTTTTGTAAACCCCACCTTTGGATGTTTTCCTGCGAGCTGCTTGGATTCAAACGACGCCTGTAACATTTCACAGCGGCGGTCCCCTCGCCGTGTATCACTGTGGGGGACGAGGACCCTACAATCCTCCAGCTAAGTTTGACTTCTCCGTGAGTTTCCCTTTGATGACTCGCACTGTTAGAGCTGCACGACGGTTATTTTGGGCACAGACGCACAGAGGTTAGCCTTCATAGACTATGGGCACATTTACTGTAAACCGACACACGGGCCAGTGTTTAAGGTTAAAGGTCGGAGAGCTGCAGTCAGCTGAGACTGACGGAGTCAGCTGATGACGACACGCGTCCCACTGAAGACGTCCAGATGAGCACAAGACTTTTTCAGGATCATTTACAGTCATTTAAGATACCTTTATTAGTCCCACATGTGGGAAATTTGTTGTTAAAGCTGCCGACCATTGCCAGCGCCATCTTACCCTTCTGACCATACATACATTACACAAACATCACATGGGGAAGACAGGTCAGAGAGGTATAACAATGGAAAATGCACAACATGAGGAAAGACAAGGAGACAAAAATAACTCCCCTAGACTGACCTCCAACAGGGAGATCAGTTTGAGAACAGAAAAAAAAAAAAAACACCTCAGCACATGAATCATCACATCTCACAACATAGAAGACATGAGCTTCGAAGGCGTTTGGAGGGGGTGAGTGTAGGTCTGTGTCAGTGTACATGCGTATGTGTGTGTGTTCAACCAAGAGAAAGTGTCCCTTCACCCGATTAGGCAAAAGTCAGTCTTCGGTCGATGCGGGTGGCCTTAAATGAGGAGGGAGAAAGTCATAACACAGTCTTGTTATCTAAGGGAGAATTGTTATTCCCGTCAGCTTTTGCCTTGAGCATCCAACTGGCGCCACATGAAATGAAGATGGTAGCTGTTTTGGTTAGTGCGAACAAACTGCTTCAAATTTTACAGTTGTCTAATGTCCGTCACTGGTCACAAGTCTGGAGCCGTGAGCCTCTCCATGATGTTATCCATCCATGCCGAGATGTTATCCATTTTGCTCATAGGGCATGAGTGTTCACGACAGCCGTGAGCCTCTCCGAGATGTTGTCAGTCGGTCTCAGTACTCACAGCAGCCCAAACTTCTCCAAGATGTCATTTGTGCTGCACCTGATGAGCCCATTCTGAGAAGCCACAGCTCGCTCCATCTTTCCAATCAACAAAGCAGGCAGCCTTGTGGGGATTTGAACAGCCGTTTCCGCTTTCTTTATCCTTCAATAAGCCGGGGCCAATCAGCAAGAACCCTGTTATCATGGTTCCAAAAGGGTGTCTTCAATGTCTTGTCACGGGCTCTCCCGAACCCAGGCTTCTCGTCGAGGGTGTCAATTGCATTCAGGGACCAGTTGATCAAATCCATAATTCTTTAGGTTTTTAGAGAACAAGTCTGGGAGACTCTCTTAGGGTTAGAGAATAAGCGAGACTATACAAAAGACATGAGAAGCCAAGCAGGAAAGATAAGTGAGAGGGAGAGGGAGAAGGAGAAAGTGCGACCGCCTCCGTCAAGAGCCAAAAGCAGTTTGGTTGTCAATGGTGACCTCGCAGCCCGAGCTCACGCCGCGTTTACGCCATCGGCCATGTTATGTGCATGCCTCCTCCCAGCTACTGCAGAACGAGCTGAGCCAGCGGGCCGTCTTCACTGAACTGTGTTTACATCATTCACACTAACCAATCACATCCTGCTGCTGTCTCACGTTTGGCCACTAGATGTCACTGAAACGCAGCTCTGAGCGTGTGACTCTAGAGGGCGCAGTTGAGCAGTGGCAGGTTTAATCAAACAAACAGTAACATTTCAGTATATTTGTGTAAATATTAATCTGCACATTCACGGATATTTCTCCTGTAGCTGTAGATTTCAAACAGTCAAAATTTAAAAATAAAGGTTCACATCCTCACTTTTTATTCTACAAACTCACATTTACAACATTCTGACCTTCACGGTTAACGAAGGATAACGAGCGAGGCGCCTCTGTGACAGCATAGCGGCACGGCTTGAGGAAATTGGCTGCGACGCCCACTGTGGATTACCCTGACGGTAAGTAAGCTCCGCCTTCCTTCCTATCATCGGTGGCATCAGAACTGATCTCACGTGCATGCTCGCACCAACTTCATTGAGGAAGCTCCTCATTAGAAATAACTGCAGATATGGTTCTGGTGCATGAGCAGCGGGTCAGCATCATCAGGGTTCCACGGGGAGACACGAGAGCAGTGGCGACGCTCCGAGTCCTTCAGTGAGTGAGTGTTCGGTTTTATTCCAGCTCTCTGCAGCTAACGGCCCTCTGAAGCAAAACTTTTGGACTTACAGCAACCTTTGACCTGAGGAGGACGGGAAGTGCTGTCGCTGCTTTAGAAGCACTTCCTGTGTGAACACGATAAAAACCCTACAGAAAAGCCTGCAGTGCTTCTCTGAGGACGGAGATGCCTCAGAGGTCACATGATGAAGGCAGACCAAGTAAACATCAGATCACTGATCAGATTAAATCAGTCGCCAGACTCCAGGACTTTCCAGGTCCTTAAAAGGACCTTGAAGAAGTTCCAGGCGTGCCTGGGCATGGCGTCCGGCGTGGCGAAGTTCTTCTGCGACTGAAACATCAAACTTAAAATGAAAAACACGAAACATTAAATGAGCAGGTGAGAATCGGAGGTCATTCCATCCACGGCACCGCGGCGTCCTCCTCAGGCCTCCAGCTGCCACTGCTGTGTCTGCGAGCCATCGCATATCGCCATGGAGACGTAACCTTTCTGTCCTATTGGCTGGGAGACAGCTGCAAGACACTGACCGACAGAGACCTGGTAGATCCGGTTGGACTTCTACAGGAAACACAGAAGACACTGACACGTGACACTGACTCCTCCTCCTGATGACAGTAAACCCCACCCACACTGTGAGGACTGTGTGTCTCACCCCCAGGCTCCACTGCTGCGACCCCCCCGAGCCGTGACACTTCATCAGCCTCGGGGGGTCAAAGGTCCTGACCTCTGACACGTCCAGACACAGCAGACCTGCCAGGATCAGCTGACCCTCCTCGTCGTACGCCCAGTCCTGCACACGTAAAGGGTTAAAGGTTAAAGCTCACGGTGAAGACAGACGCTTTTATTGTGATAAACAATTGTGTTTATTAAAAACGTGCGGTCAGCGAAGTTGCTGACTCGTTTATGAAGCCGTGACGTGCAGGTCGGGACAGTCCGCATCTTCAGGGGCGGAGCCCAGCAAAGACTCGAAGCCTGATTGGATAGAGGTGTGTGAGAAACAACCTTCAGCTGACCTCTGGACAGAGGCTTTTCATTGGCTAATGACTCGTCAATCATAGGTCGTTAGCCAATGACTGCGAGCCTTTACTGTCACGTCTGCTGTGAAGATGTTACCATGGTTACATCTATATTTTACATTTGTGTAAACGTGTACTTTAGCTCCGCCCGTGCCGCCACCAGGAATCACAAATCTCTGCGGTGATTCGGTAAACCGATGTTGCGTGTGGTCATGTGATCGGCTCACCTGCTCGGGGTCTTGGGGGTCACACGGTCGCAGAACGACGGCGCCGCCCTTCTGACTGACCCGGCCCTGGGCTACCAGACAGCGTCCGATGGCGAGGTTCCGTAGCTGGAAGATGGCGGACACAGAGGACGGAAACATGAAGGTAGTTCATGTGACAGGGGGCAGACACGAACGTGTGGTGAGTTAAGGTACCCGTCCTCGCTGCAGGACTTTGGGCCGCTTCAGGCTCTTGTTGATGAACAGCGGCTGCTGCTTGTTGCCGTTGGCGGCGGTCTGCATCTCAGGGTAGACTGTGTCCAGGTACCAGCTGAATGAGTGGCACTGCAGCCGCTTCCTCAACGCCACGCGCTCGCCGATGTCGCCGTAACTCCGGTTGCGCAGCTCTGGACGCAAAGAGAGATACTGCTCCTGATTGGATGAGAGAGGCACAGGAAATGAGGCCACCGTGCCGGCATCCAGAGAGTGCGCACGTGTTTGTGTGTGTGTTTACCTTGTACCCGTCCATCCACACATGTGCCAGCCGCAGGGAATTATGGGCCATGGTGTCATGGCCGCCCGGCGAGCCATAGGGCCGCCGTTTCCTGAAGATATGGCCAACCCTGGAGCACGGGATGATGAAGAGCTGACCACCGCACATCCAGATCTGAGCGAGACAGCGAGAAGGTGTAGCAGCAGCTGCTCTCCCCTCTTCCCACCACTTCCTCTCTATGCGCTAAGCTAACTGCTAACTGAGAGAAATGTGCGACTGCTCCTTTAATGACCCCTTCACTGACCGTCAGTAAAACAGAGTCTCACCCTGAAGGAGATTTCCAGGTTCTCTCCCCCCCAGATGTCCATGCCGGCGTCGTATTGGCCGAGCTCGTTAAAGTACTTCCTGTTCATAGCGAACAGCCCGCCTGCCATGGTGGGGGACCTGAGGGGGAGCAGAGCAAGGGGGGAGGAGTTAGAGGTCAGACCAAAACTGTACCTCGAGGCTGTTAAGACATCACCTGATGGGTCCGGAAGCTCCCTCAGGCCCGCTGAGCTCGGAGGGGGGCACGGGGTCCCACTTGAAGTGCAGCCCCCAGTTGAAGCCGCCCCTGACGATGGGGGAGGGCGAGTAGGCGAGCGTGTCGGCGGAGATGATGTCGATGACGGGGCAGACGACAGTGCGGCGGTCCTTCTGGATGGGCGCCAGCAGCGGCTGCAGCCATGCCTGGTTCACCTCACAGTGGCTGTCCAGGAACACGAGCACCTCACCTGGACGCGCACACAGGTGAATCAGACTGCGATCTGACCTAACCTGATCAGAAGGCCCCGCCCCGTCAGAGGCTTGTGAAGGCTCCTAAAAACACTGAATTCAAAGCTTAACAGGTGAGACCAAATACTTCTGTCCACATGGTTACAGAGCTGTGCAAAAGTCTTGAGCCGCCTGTCATTTCCTTATAGTTTTCCTGTATTTTTGAAGTACTCTTGAGCAACAGATCTCTGGCTTTCTGGAGCTCTTTCTCATCTTTGGCTGCTTTTCCTTGTTCCGGAGCATCCTTCAGGAAGCTCGGCGAACTATTCCTGAGGGTCCAGAGATGACACAGAGCTGCTCAGAAGGATGACGCTCCGCCCCCAAACACTGGTTTTACACGTGTATGTGCAGACGTTGATTCTGACTGATTTACACGCACGTTTACACGTTTCAATAAATCGCTGCACATTTTCTCATTTAAAAATATGAGGGGAGGCTCGAGACTTGTATGCGCACAGGTCTGTGCACATACAACACCAGACTCTGGCTTTCATACGGTTATTGGAGGAAGAGAGAGAGGCCTAAAGAGGTAAAGGAGGGTTCTTCGTCCTCCAGGAAACAAGAACAGAGCAAGGAAAGCAGGTGACGAGGAGGCACCTGTAGCGTGTGAGGCTCCAATCATGCGTCCTCTGATGAGTCCTTCCCTCCTCTGGTTCCTCACTAGATGGACTTTTCCCTGAAACTCCGCCCTGACGTAGCGGTCCAGCTCGTCCTTCAGCTCCTCTGCACACAAACAAAAATCCGCCATGAGCCACGGGCCAAGCCCCGCACCAATCGAATTGCAGCAACTGGTTCGCGATTACCCAGCTCGCTGTGGTCGTCCACCAGGATGATCTCGTGCAGCAGGTAGGGCGGCGTGCGGTCCAGCACGCTGTGCACGGTCCTGAGCAGGGCGGAGAGCGCCTCGTTGAAGAAACAGATTACGACGCTGGCAGAAGGTAGAGCCACAGGATAGGACTTCTCCCGACACCTGAGAGAGAGGCATCATGGGTAAACAACAGGGCTCGCCTACACATCGCACGACGCCACAGCGAGTTGCAGGTACACGTGACTACAGTCGGCTTCAGGTGATCCGGACAGTGACCTCAGAACAACCGCCGGGTCACCGCCGACATCTGCACGCTGCTACGGGGCGCTTCACGTTTTTATGGTCGTTACACCTGAACGAGCTCACTCTACAGAAAACACAAAGTTAACTCAGATTTACTGGAAGACAGAGACACAAAGGCCCCAGTGTGCCCAGTATCAGCTTCTTACTGGGTGTCTCTGGTGTCGGGCAACTGGCGGTGGAAGCCCAGCCTGTTGGAGATGAGGACGTTGAAGGCGTGACGGTGGTAGCCGCTGTCCCGAACCTCTTGATCCGCCTCGTTGAAGATCATCCCTGCAGACGGACACAGAGGCTGACACATCACATCATCTCTCACTCACACACACACACACACACACACACACACACACACACACACACACTCCTTTAATTTTAAATATGTTTATATTGTCTATTCTGTAAAATAGTCAGATCGTCTATCCTCATTTAACTCACTTAATGTACAGAATTCACCTGCTTGCTGCTACTGCTGCACATTCACCTAATGTATGTGTGTAATATATATATATATATATATAATGTTCTTCCTCTACCCCCCCATTTTTGCACAAGTTGAGGCGCGTGTCAGGTTACATTTCACTGTGTGTTACACTTGTATAACTATGCATGTGACAAGTAAAGAACCTTGAACACACTGAGGTGTTAATCGTGACATCATCAGAGACTTGGCCCTGCCCCCATTTGCCAGTTATCATTCATTTAGTCTGACAGACCTCTGGTTTACAAAGACTCTGAAAACAGGTCATCACTGACACGCTCTCAGGCCCCACCCCTTACTCCACCCATCACTGCCGCTCTCCCAGCAGTACCTGAACGCACCACGAGCACTCACCCATCTCTGGTGAAAGCTCCACTCCATTACTTGGCAGCAGAGGCCGACGCCCCCCTCTACGATCGGCCACACCTCCAGTGATTGGCTGCCCGAGGTGCCTCATGGGAGTCCTGCCACGGTCAGGCTCCGCCCCCATGGAAAAATACAGGAAGAGCAGGAAGGACCAGGTGGCCGAGGTGACGAGGCAGCCATAACAGAAGTACCGCAGCGTGACAGTGGTCATGGCGGGCGAGCAAGCATGGCCTTACATTACACTGTAGTGAGACAGAGAGAGAGTTCATCAGTCACAGACTGTGTCCCAATCCAGCGACCGCACGCTTTGTAGTGTGCATGTGGAGAACGATTACGTCACAGCGATGCGACGAAGAGTGTCCCAATACAAAGTGTACTCCAAATGCGGTCGACAAATGCACCCTTCATTTGCCCAAATTAGAAGTGTGGCCCGGTGTACACTTCGGGGTACCATATATCCCACAATTCATAGCGCGGCGGTGGGTGTGGACATTTTGTTCGGAAAAAAACGGCGGATGGCTGAAGCAGAGCGGCCGAAGAGCAAACTTTTAAAAATAAGTACTGAATATGATGTCACTTATTTATGCGCAAATGTTTAATAATGAAGATCATTAAAACATGACTGTTGGCCACATGCCGGCAAAGTTATGTGACATTAGTGACGTTTGTACTAACTTGGTTTTAAAGCCTTTACTTTAAAATATACGCCGTTCAATAGTCGACCTTAATCCTACAGAGAATGTGATGATTTTGTGCATAATTAAAGTCAGTCATATATCCACAAACACAGCGAGCTGAAAGTCAGTGATGCTGCTCGGTTTGCAGTCCTGAACATCACGGCACAAGCAGGATTCACTGCACTGTTAATGTGAGCTGTGTTATATTGCTGCCTCTGTTCGGTGGTGTCGAGCCAAACGGACTTTAACATGTGTTTGAACGAGCTGACGGTTCACTCGTTAAGCTGAAAGAAAGATGCTTTAATAACAGCAGTCACATTGTAATGTAACTCACATAATTTGTGTGGCATGTTATTGAATGCAGAACAACTGATTGTTCTGTAAAAAGTTTGAAATGGTTATTAAAAAAAAAAAGGTAAATGGCTGCAAATAACTTGTGCGTATGATTTTAAAATTGACAATTTATATTTGCATTTAAAGTTATGAAATATGATTCATTAAACATGTTTGTGGTTGTTACAGAAAAAATATCACTTTTTCTACTCTGATTTTATGTTTTCTGTCTGATTTTAGATCAATTGTGTTAATACAGTATGTCAGAATGAAAACATGACTGTAAATTCAGACACGTGAGGCAGTGCTGAAAAGGATGATACCAAACGAGGCAAAGTAAATCGTTTTTAAAGGTGAAATGTAGAGGAAACATCAAAAGTAGTTAAAATGTCCAATTATACCCTGGATCCCAGAGGTTACAAAAAATAATAAAATAAAAATTTAAGTAACGCAATAGTTACTTTTCAAGTAATTAATTACTTTTAGAATCTTGTAACTCAGTTACTACCTCAGTTACCTTTTTGAAGTAGTAACTAGTAACTACTATGTTGTAAACCTGCTCAACATTTGGCAATAAACTGATTCTGATTCTAACTATAATTAATTACTTTTTCAAAGTAACTTGGCCAACACTGGGGGTCAGAGGTCACAGCCTGAACCTCCAATCAGCTCTCAGGTCGACTGATCACAAGGTTAATCAATTTTCAATGAGTAACCTGGAACTGCTGCTGGCGTCAGCACACCTGAGGACAGGTGTCCTGTGTCGGCAGCTCAATCATTCACCTGAACTCGTGACTGACACAGACAGAAGAGCAGCTCCGACCAGGGTACATTCAGAAATCCTCTGATTTAAGGGGCTCAAACACACACTCCTCCACACTGAAAGTTTGGCTTCAGCTCACCTGTTAGAGACTATGCGCACACACGCGCGCACAGTGAGAAGCAACTGACCCGAGCTCACCTTTAATCATCCTACTGCTTCACAGAGGCTCCATCTGTCCGTGCGGCTCTCTGGGCTTCAGCAGCAGGAGGTGCAGCGGCTCCCAACGCGAGCCACAGCAGCACAGTGTCCGATAATGGAAGCCGCTCTCTTGGCCCCGCTAGCCGAACACGGAGGCTGAGAGTAGCATTAGCAGCTCGCTGTGACCCTGAAGTTCTCTCCGTGGATTTTACACGGCGTCCCACGCGGTATACTCACCGGCACACTGAGCTGCTTGCTCGGCGGCACTCTGGCCGACGGTCAGCCTGCTGGTCAGTTAGCCGCTGAGGCTAAAGTGAGCCGCAGAGAAAACAGAGACACGTGACTTCCGCTCTGCTCCTTCACCATAAGACACACCGCTGCCAAAGAAAAGGCTGTGAACGCTTTCAAAGTAAAACAGGCTGTATCCCAATTCAGGGTCTGCAGCCTTAAAGTACGCAGCCTTAACGGTCCACAAGGGCCGCGTACTCAAAGCCCGCTAAGGCATGCGAAATGGGATGGTCTAGCCTCCGTAGCTTCACAATCTTTTGTCCATTTGTTTGTTTTTATATGAGCTTTGTGTGATTTGATAAGCTTCTGAGGCTGAGACCACAGGACTGTAAAAACATGATTGTTGGGCTTCATTTCTGTACTGAACAGTGTTGGTCAAGTTACTTGAAAAAAGTAATCAGTAACTAATTACTGATTACTTCCCCCCAAAAGTAATCCCGTTACTTTACTGATTACTTATTTTCAAAAGTAATTAATTACTTAGTTACTTAGTTACTTTTTAAAAAC